TCCTCAACACCCCACACCAGGGTACACTTCATCCAAACTCCTGTGTGTTAGCATCAGATGCAGGCAATACCTGAGGTCTACTGAAGGCTTACAGATAGAAACTTTTCATGGGTTAAGTCTCAAAACAAACCAACAAAGTATATTTTTTGTTTTATTGTTTGTTTTTTGGTTTTTCAAGACAGGGTTACTCCATGTAACAGCTCTGACTGTCCTAGAAGTTACTCTGTAGACCAGGCTGGCCCTGAACTCACAGAGATCTGCCTATTTCTGCCTCCCGAGTGCTGGGATTTCAGGCTAGTGCCACAGCCTCTCTGGCTTAATTTTTGCTGTCTCCACTTTAAAGCTGAAAAGCCTAGACCTGGAGAACTTAGAGCAGTTTTTCCAAGATCACACAGCTGGGAGGTGCCATGAAGCCAGCTCCTAGACTCCAGAGTGCAGGCATCTATCAATGGCGTCTGACCTAGAAGGAAATGCTGCTCAACCAGAAGTTAGGGCGATGATGTCATCAAACGGTTTCCAACCACGTGGTACAAATGCCTGTCTCCTGACTGGTCGATCTCAGCAGCCTTGCCTTTCTGAGAATGTGACAGCAGTGAGGGGGTTGCTCTGGGGCCGCCTGAAACTCAAGCAACGGAAATCTCTACGACGACCTGTCACCTTGCCTCTGTCTTTGTTTGAGACAGGTCTCATGTAGCCCAGGCTGGCCTCAAACTCAAAAGCATTGAGCCTTCTCTCTGGCCCCAGTCACACACTTTTGTGGGGATCAGGACAAGGAAACTGGGGCCCACCACTACCCATCAGTTTCTTCTTTGCTAACCCCACTGCCCAGTCATGGTTTAGAAAACCGTGTCTCTCTGTATTTCCTGAGTATAACAAATACCAAAATTCTCACCTTAGGCTGGAGAGATGACTCCATGGTAAGAGCACTGGCTGCTCTTGCAAAGGACCAGGGTTCAATTCCCAGCACCCACACAGTGGCTCACAATTGTAACTGCAGTTATGGACAATCTAATGCCAATTCCTGTCCTCCACGGGCACTGTACACAACGGTGTACATATACACAGGCAAGAAAACACTCATAAAATAAATAAATAAATAAATAAAAATTTGAGACCTGGCTGTCCCAGAACTCACAAAGATCTGCCTATTGAATGCTGGGATTAAGGGTGTGAACTGCCATGCTAAATAAAAAAAAAATCTTCAAAAACATTCTCGCCTTGACATTGCTACTGCCCCAAATGCAGCTACATGTGGGACACACAAGCCAGCACAGGGCCTTTCAAACTCAGGACCCAACTCTGAATCCATGTCACTCTAAGAAGCGAATGATCTCCACAGCCTAGGAGGCCACACTTAAGTACAACTCTTTAATGATTATTTACTTGGGTGACAAAGAGAGATATCTCAGTGGTAAAGGGCACTAATTGCTCTTCCAGAGGTACCAGGTTCAATCCCCAGCACCCACATGCTGGCTCACAGCCATCAACTAACTCCAATTCCATAGGATCTAGCGCCCTCTGCTGACCTCTGCGGGCACTGCACACACATAGCGCACATACATGCATGCAGACAAAACACCCATACATGTAAAACAAAAATAGATCCATATTTATTTTTGTGTATACAAATGTCTTTTCTGCATGTATGTGCCTGGTGCCCACAGAAGTCTGGGAAAGACAACAAATCCCCTGGAACTGGAGTTATGTATGAAGCTGTGAACCACCATGCAGGTGATTGGAATCCAACCTGGGTTTTCTACAAGAGCAACCAGTGCTCTTAACCATTGAGCTGTCTCTCCAGCCCTGAATCAGTCTTTAAATAAAACAAAATATAAACAATTTACTTTGTGTCTGTGTTGCAAAGAGGAACACCAAAGTGTGCATGGGGGGGGGCACGGGGGACGACGACACATAGGTGGTCACAGGGGTCAAGTTCAGGCCACCAGACCAGGCTCAGCAGCCAATCCCTGCTGAGCCATCTCCACTGGGTGTCACTATGCAGTCCTGGCTGATCTGGAACTCACAAGAGATCCACTTGTCTCTGCCCCGCTGGGATTACAGACATGTGCCACCGCATCCAACTGATTTTTTTTTTTTTTTGAGACAGGGTTTCTCTGTGTAGCCTTGGCTGTGTGTCCTGGAACTCGCTCTGTAGACCAGGCTAGCCACAAACTCACAGAGATGGCCCTGCCTCTCTGCCTCCTGAGTGCTGGAATTAAAGGTGTTTGCCACCAATACCCAGATCAACTGATTCTGTGAAATATAAATTTGCCTGCCCTGCTCCCTCTAGACCTCTGAAAATCAGAGCATATTTCTATCCTGTCAACTTACCCACAAAGTCCAGTGGGTATCAGAACTGAGGGTGCTCAGGCACCCACAAAAGGCTCCATGGCATTCCTGGAGCCCACAGTATCCTCCTTTATATTCCCTATGGGGTCCAACACGCCGGACTATGGAGGGCAGGCTGGCATGTTCAGGACACAGGCGATTTCCATTTTTCACATTTTCATCAAGCAGCAGGTGGCTGCACCCAGGGACACAGTGGCCACTGTGCAGGCCCCAGATTCTCACGTCAGAGTCTTAAATGGGCGTTACAGTTTCCCAGGGGGAGTCCCCAGCACCTGCCCAGTCTGGAAGCCCACAACTATTAGAAAGATCATGTTTATTCCAGGTTTTGGTCCAGGCCCTGCACAAATCAACCACGGCACGTTACAGTCTGCTAACCTAGCTCATTAAGGTATTTATTTATTGCAGGGGGAGGGGAGTTCCAGGGAGAGCTCTAACGAACTGTCTTCATGAAAACACCCATTTGGGGGGGGGCGGGGGGCTGGAGGTGTACTCAGGGACAGTGACTGCCTAGCAGACTGGAGGACCTGGGTTTGATCCCTAGCACCACCCAACCGCAAAACAGTAAGAAAGCCAACAAACACCAACACCGCCCCCCCCGCAGGAAGTGTGGGGCAGGAAGCATGGGAACCCCGTTCCAGCACCTTCCCGCCCCCGCCCCCGGCCCTTCCGTTTCCGTTTCCCATTCCGTCAACACTGAACAGGGCCTCAGAGTCGAGGCCTCAGGGAAGCCAGGCACAAAGGCCCACAAGATGGCAGCTGGCATCCCTCCCGACTACACTGACACCTGGTCGGCAGCCCCACCCAGCTCGGGCGGCCGAGCCACCGGGAGCCCCGGAGACGCCGCCGCAGGCCCCGCCCAGCCGCATCGCCTCACCTGCGCGGCCCGGAGACTCGCACCTCCCAGGTCCCACCCCCGGGGGCTCTGATTGGCGGGGCACGGCGCGGCCGGGGACTCTGCATTCTCACGGGCGAGACCCTGGTCCCCAGGAGGTCGCAGCCCCGCCCGGGCCGCCCGCCCCCGGGGTCCCCCGCGGCCCCGCACCGGCTCTCCCGGCCTGCGGCAGGTGTCCGCCCTCCCTCCCACCCTCCCTCCCGCGCGGCCCGGCCACTCACCCCGCGCGCGGCCTGCTGTCCACCCGCTTCTTGTGGCGCACCGGCTGCAGCGGGATGCTGTCCGTCATGTCGCCGCCCGGCGCGCCCGCCGCGCCCGCCGCGCCCCCCCGCGGCCTCAGCGCCACCCCGGGGCAGGGGGGAGGAGGCGCCGGCAGCGGGCGGGCCGGGCTCGCAGCGCAGGGGCGAGGTCGCGAGCGCCGGGCCACGCGCGGAGCCGCCCGCGCGGCCCGACCGACGGACACGGCCGCACCATGGGCCCCGGCTCCGCGCTGAGCCCACGCGCGCGCCCGCCCGCTCGCCCCGGGGCCGCCGCAGTGTCCCCGCCCCGGCCCGCCGCGCTGCGCCGCCGCCACGCGCGCCCACCCGGCCACGCGCCCACCACCACCACCCCCGCCGTGCCCGCGGGCGCGCGCGCGTACCCCGCCGCACTCACCCCACCCCGGGCATTCTCTCCAGCTCGCTCCGAGCCGTGTGCACACACCCCGCCCCGCTCACCCCACCTCCACGCCGCGCGCGGCCAGCGGCACACGCAGCCTGCCTCCTCCCGGGCTTCACCCTGCGGCTCGCACTCGGGTCCCCCGAGTCTCGGGTCCCCGGGGGCGGGGGAGGCCCATACATACCCTCTTGCACCACCCACGCCCCTCTCGTCGCCTGCATTCCTACAATCTCGATCCCACAGACTCAAAGCTGCGCCGGGGCCAACTCCCTAGACACAGCCCTGCCCCACCACTGATCGCCTGCACGGGGTCTCTGTCTGTCTGTCTCTCTAGAAGGTTATTGTGAAACTAAGAAAACTCATGGCTGCAGAGATAGGCTCCGCATTTAAAAGCAGCCACCGCTGCTCGACCCACCTGCCACTTGGGCCCCAGGGGACCTAACACCCTCTCTGGCCTGCCAGGGCACCTGCACACACGTGGCACACACTCACACAGGCATATGCTATTTTAAAAATAATAAAAACAAACCTTTTTTTTTTTAATCGGCATATAGGAGCCAGGCTTGGTGGTGCACTCCTTGAATCCCACCTCTCTGGAGGCAGAGGCAGGCGATCTGAGTTCGAGGCCAGTCAGCCTGTCTACAGAGCCTTTTCTAGGACAGCCAGGGCTACACAGAGAAAAACCTAGTGTCCCCCCCCAAAAAAAATCAGCATTTAGAAAGCTGGAGAGGAAAATTAGGTGGTTAAGAGCACTTCTTAAGGACCTACCTGGGTTCTATTCCCAGCACCCACGTCATGTGGTGGCTGTAGTCCGGTCCAGGGAAAACTGATGCCCTCTTCTGGCCGTTGTCAGTACTGAATGTATAGCAGACATACATGCAGGCTAAAAATACACAAATCATTTTTTTTTAAGAATGAGTATGTGACTCAGGCCCCTTAAGATGTAACACCATGGCCGGGCGTTGGTGGCGCACGCCTTTAATCCCAGCACTTGGGAGGCAGAGGCAGGTGGATCTCTGTGAGTTCGAGGCCAGCCTGGTCTACAGAGCTAGTTCCAGGACAGCCTCCAAAGCCACAGAGAAACCCTGTCTCGAAAAACCAAAAAAAAAAAAAAAAAAAAAAGATGTAACACCATGTAACTAGCATAAACCCACTATTCTAGGACAATATGAGGAGCAATTCCCATTGGTGTTTCCTGTCAGAGTCAGCCTTTTATATTATTTTCTCTGGTCAGTAGGGAGTCACCAAATGTCTCTGTGTCTGGGCAAAGAGACCAACCAAAACTCGTGACTAAGGTCCCAAAGGCATTTCCCACAAGAACCTTTGAGGAGGAAACGGCATTCTTCTGCCAGCTGACCTGGCCTGCTTGCTGCCTGCTCTCTTCTAGAAGGGTACTTCAGGGAGAAGTCCTAGGTTCCCTGACACACATAGACACACCATGTATGGCATGGCACACAGTTGGGGCTCAGTAAGTACATCTAGGAGGACCCATTACAGAAAGAGCAAATCCTACTTCCCATAGGTCCCGGCCTCCTCAAACAAGGTCTCACTTTCACAGAGATCACCTTCCTCTGCCTCCTGAGTGCTGGGATTATAGGTGCGCACCACCATACCCAGCTGAAGTGACTTCTAGTTGATTTTAGTTACAGCCCAAACTTGCAGGAATCCCAGCAGCTCCGCCCACTAAATCGAAATGAATAAACCCATTTCATGAGTGAGGGAGAGAAACACAAGAGTAACCAGCACAAAACCACGAGGTCACCAGGCAGGACTGGGTTCCAAGGCCTGGCCTTTCACACTCAGAGCAATCAGGAAATGGGGCTTCTGGTCACAGCAGGGCCAACACCAGCCATCCTGGTGCCACATACATTCAAGCTCTCCCTGGCTTCCTGGAGCTGCCTATGGCTGCCCCCACCTGAACTGGCACTGAATGAGAACAGCTTGTCATCCAGGATCCCGTAGGTTTCCAGTGCCTACTAGCTGCGAAACTTCTGGCAAGCTCCACACTGGGGGCGCTGTCTGTGTGTGTGTGGGAGAGGGGTATTTCCTTGTCCGTTAACAGAGCTCAGGGCAGTTGTTCCGGCCTCAAGGGGTGCTAGAAGGATCTGCAGTGTCAGCAGAACCAGTGTACAGCCAGCTCTGTGTGGCCAGGAGGTCTCGGTGGCCTCAAATTCCCAATCTTCCTGATGAAATGAAGTACAAGCCTGGCCTACAAGATGCTTATTTTCTTAAAGCTTCCTTCCAATAAGACACTCTCTCATGGAGAAAGACATTTAAAGTCTGTATCAACTGGTCCTAGTGCTGTAGGTTACACAAGAAGCCAACTCAGGAGGCTTGCCATAAGCTGGAGGCTATCCTTGGCTACATGTGGAGACTCTGTCTCAAAAAGCAAAAACAACCCTAATATAACAAAAAGCCTTTTAGCTCTTAAGAGGGCACACTCTTCCATGAGACAGGAGTAAACCGTGAGGTCCTCCAGGGAGTCCGTATGATATAAAACATGTACTACACGCAACTACCTTTCATGCTCACGCACGTAGATTGGTTATAGACATCAAGGGTTTTAAGACAGGGTCTCATATATCTCAAGCTGGTCTTGAACTCTCGATGTAGCTAATCTCATATCTCTCTTCCGATCTTGAACTTCTACTTGTAACTGGGCTTTCAGGTGCCTGTCACCAGGCCTAGCTTAAGCACTATCACTGATGCAAGCCCGGCTTCCTGCATGCTGGGCTAGCACACTACCAACTGGGCTGCAGCCCCATCCCCCAAGAGCCTTTTGATATATCCTGGTATGTTCTGAATGGGCCCAAGCCTAAGGGAGAATCAGAACAGCACGGCTAGGGACGGTGGGTAACTTGTACTGGGGTCCACTTCAGGAGCACAGCACATTCTTGGCCCAGCTCTGCCTTCTCACCACTGCCCTTTTGGGGTCCCATGACAGCTCTATCCATTCAACAGAACTTGGGTGCAGGAGGCCCTTGACTCCAGGGTACCTAGAAAGATCTGGGAATAAGGGAACCTAGCCCAGATCCTACTTTACAGAACAGAAACCATGGGGTTCACATGACATCCTCCGTGGATGCCAACACGTGTGGACCAGACTATACCCAAGTCTGTTGGTTCAGGCCACAGGACCTCACGTTCACAGGAGACCCTAAGGTGTGGGCTGCTTACATCTCCGTAAGGAGGGCTAACCAATCGGGCACGGGCACAGGTGAGGGGGAGGAGACAGGGAAGACTGCACTCAGAATCAAGTCTTTGCACGTGGCTGGCTAGATGGCTCAGCAGTTAAAGGCGTTTGCCACCAAGCCTGAGTTCAATCTCCAGGGTCTACATGGCAAGAGAATCAGCTGTCTTGAGTTTCCTCTGACCTGCACACACACACGGGCTCACATCCTCCCTCAGATACTCACGCACAGTAAGTGCAACTTCTTAAAGTGTTTTGGGCTCAACTTGATGGTGCATGCCTTTAATCCCAGATTTAGGAGGCAGGCAGATCTCTGTGAATTCCAGGGCTACATTGAGAGCCTATCTTTTTACAAGGCTTCTCCATGTAGCCCTGGCTGTCCTGGAACTGGCTCTGTAGATAAAGCTGGCCTGGAACTCAGAGATCTGCCTGCCTCTGCCTCGTTTTAAAACACTACCAGAAACCGTTTAGATGGTGGGAAGGGAGCTCACTCCTGAAACCCTCACACTTGGGAGGCTGGAGGACAGCTGAAATTTCTGGGCAAGCCTGTGCTGCATAGTAAAACCAAAGTCCCAACACAGAAAGTTGAGTTTTTCTTCTACTTATTTCTTGTTTTTTGAGGCAGGCTTTCTGCGTGCAGCACCACTGCCAGGTTCAATGGCCCTTTTTAGACAAGGTCCCATGTTGGCCTCGAACTCCTGATCTGTCTCTATTTCCCCAGTGCTAGGATCTGAGGTTTGGGACACACCCAATGTCAATAAGTTTATCTTTAATAACCCAATCCCTTTTTCCCAGCTTGTCTTTGGAAAGCAGGGCCACACCATGGAACTGTGGAAGGATATATCATGCAGGCCAGCTGACCTTGAAATTATCCCTCTATTCCAAGTGCCAGGATTATGGGTGTGGGCTCACACCTGGCGTTAAACTTTAATTTAATACTGCTGTTTCCAGGAAACGTTCCAGGAAGTGCAAGGGAATCCAAGGAAGATTCCATCTCACTAGTTCTAAGGGCTTGGGAACAGTCCAAGGACTGAGATTTATCAGACTGCTTCTTGGAGGGGACCTTTTGGAAGGTCACTGGAGACACAGAGATGACTGACGTCCCTCTAAATCCATGCTTCACCTAGACCTGAATTAGCTTTGAGCTGAGTTATTTTGTTATAAAGGACTGTAATGGAAATGCAGATGTCCCCACCCGCTGAGGGCTTGCCCTGTGGATATTAACTATGTTTTGTGTCAGTCTGTAAATTCATTTCAACTTATCAGATAGCTTGCAATTTGAGAGTTCTTAGCCTAAGGGCTGTATAGGGTGGGGGCTGGAGATAAGGCAGGGACTAGTCCCATTTGCTGGAAGTTCATTTTTCCCCCAAAAAAGGTTAAACATTTTAGCATTAGCATGAACATTTCAGTATTTTAGATTTTTGCTGTTTGCTATGCTGGAGGCTGTTTTTCCCCTCCCCACGACCTTATAATAAAGTGGCAGCTGCCCGTCCTCTTGGATAAGCTTCAAGGTCTGCACACCTTGATGATGTTGCTTTGACGGTCAACTCACCGGCTTTAATTCTGGGAAATCAACATTCATCCAGGAAGCACAAAACACACCACCTACATTACATCGATGTCTTTAGGTGAGACTGGGTGACTGCAATGCTCTGAAAACCAGGGTTTCCCCATCGGAATGAAGTATCAAATACATCATAGACCACCCTCCAATCTGTGCTACAGGAGAGCCTGTCTCAAAAACAAAATAAACAAACAGAACCGCCCTAAAGGTGGCCTACTTAGTTCTAGGCCAGAATGAATGCAAGACACTTTTTGCTAAGTGTTCAATTCCCAGATCCCACTAGTGTAAGGAGAGTCTCCCTCCACAAGCACTCTTATGCAAACGCATACACACAATGCAGAACGAATACGCCCAAGGTAACTCAGTACCTGAAGAATGACAGCCGAGGTTCACATACACCCATGAAAAGGAGGTGCCAAGCTACAGGCTGACTTTATGCCCCCCACCACACACACAGGTCCAGGATGGACCTAACGAACCACTGTCAAGAACCAGGGGAACGCTATGCAAATGGAACACACCAGAAAAACCACAGACAAACCTGGTGGGCACAAACCTGGTGGGGGAAAGAAAAAACTCAAATTTTATTTCTGGACAGACAGTATCAGCAGGTAAAACTACAGCACAGTTCACACATTCATTCACAGGGTGTGAGAAGCCACGGCTGGCGTGTCCTCTGTAACAATACCACTTCGGTGTGAACAGTGAACAGGCTAACCAGCAAACCCTTTATCACAGGCTTCACTTAACAATCCCAGAAGGAAAGGCACAACTCGGCAGGAAAAAAAACACAAAAGTTTTGGATCCTAAAATCAGGTGCAACAAGAGGAAAGGAAGTTGGTGGACTTTTGAGCCTCCACCCTCAGTTTGGCAACGGCATTCCACGGGGCAGGAAGAAATCTCCTACCCAGGAGCTAGAAGTGTGTCCCTCCTCCCTCATTAAACCATCAGAACACTGTTACAACAGCTGCTCGAAATTATTACACATACAAAAAATGTAATAAAAAAATAAAATAAAATACAGAATCAACCATGGAGACATCTTGAACATCAGGCTCTTCTCACCACATTAACTCCTAAATTTAAGACCTGGAAACACTGTGTGGTCACAACATAGCAAAATAGACTTTTTTGGCTACAAAAATAAAAATAAACGAGGTAGATAAATAAGCCCTCACATCCAAGACTTGCCTGTCTCAACACTACAACCTTCATAATGGCAGAGGTGGTGTGAAAATCTTCACGACTCGGGATAAGGAAATTGAAGTAACAGGAAGGTAACGTGACTTAACATTGGGAGCAGGAAGCGAGACTCGCCTGGCCCTGCTAGGAGTTTCTCCCTAAGGAGGAGCATGCATGCAGTCTGTCCAACAACGCAGTGGGCACTGCAGAACCAGGTGAAATCACCTGACTTACCCACTCCGGTGCCCTCCACTCCAGGGTCTGGGAAGAAGGTGGTTTGTGGGAGATGGGGGGCAGGTGGCAGTTTTGGGGCTCTAAACCATTTTAAAAGAGCAGCAGGGTAAGTGGTGAGCTCCCTAGGGACCAGGGTCAGTTTGTGGGCGTCCTACAAAGGATCTAAGGCTTCAGGGAGTGGGCTGATTGGGCCACCTTAGTTTTTCTGAGGGTTCGTTTCTTCCTTTCTCTTAAGGTACATTCAACAACAGGAGATGCATACAGGACGGGGAGGCATATAAACCAGGTCCCTTCAGATGTCCATTGACCCGCATCAGTCACCACGGAGTACACGGCACCTCCACCCCTGAATTGAGGTGAGTAGTTGTCACTTCCACTGTGGTCCAATTTGCCACAACTGTTTCACTTTGAAACAGGTTGACAGTCTTTGGAAAACAGCCAGGAGGTCACACAAAGCCTCTAGTATACAGTTTGTCCCAAGTAACAAAACCCGCTTCTTTCCAAAAAGTCTGTTTTGGATTTTTTTTCCGGTTTTTTTTTAAATTTTCCTCTTTTTTTGTTTTAATTTTTTGGAAAGCAGCATAGCAACAATCAAGATTGTAGGACTGCCCACAACTATGGTGACAAGTGTAAACATCCTTGCATCCCAGGAAGAGAAAAGCAGGAGACGGTTAAGAAAGCTCCACAATGAAGCAGATCTCACTCCAGCTGCACTGCACCCTCTTCCTCCTCAGCTGACTGCAATCTTGTTTTCCTCCACAAAATGGGGGAACTGGTGCATGGTCACCCCATCGGGAACAGCAGGCTTCTCCATGTTCCCGCTCATGGCCGACTGAGAACCATCGAGCTTGGAAAGTGTGGCGCTGCTCACGACAGAGCTGGCCCCCAGGGACACCGGCAGGGTGGGAATGCCTCCACTCTGAATCACAGAGATCTCGTTGGTCTTCATGGCCAGGCCCCCATTGAGGACGCTGGTGTACTGGTTCCATGTGGCAGGGTCCACGCTCACCGTGGGGGACAGGAGTTCCTTGGGAAAGGCCTCAGCCACTCTCTTTCCCTCTGCACTCAGGATAGCCATGGGGTTCTCCATGGGCAGCTTCCTGCCCCTGCGGGCGGAGTTATTGTTGGGCCCATGCGTCATGTAGTGTACCTGTGGAGGGGACAACAAAAAAAGTTTCATCAGATAGTCTCCTGCCTGTTCAAAAATCAAGCTCAGTCAGCCTCCACATGCTGCGCTCACCACCCAACCTTCATGAACATAACCTTTTCTTAGAAATTGGACCAGGGGTGATACACAAGCTTGAGATGTAGGAGGGACCTGAGTTCAAGGGCAGCCTACACTACATATGAGAGCTTGTGTCAATAAGCCAGAAAAGAATCAGTTCAGGTGTTGGGGCTGTTTGAGCACTTGTTTGTAGATGTATCGGGGAAAGAGAAGACAGAAGGGACAGTCTAGCCATCTTTGGCCAGCATCCCCACCAAAATAAGGGTAAAGCATCTGCCTAGCCATTCATGGGTGCATTTACATAAATGCCTAGGATACAGATATCATTGCATTCACAAACGTGTTACAGGCCAGAATGTCACACTTCACTGACAGCAGTGAGACAGCAGTCTGTCTAAGCTGAGAGCCTCAACCCCATATCACTTACACTGTTAAAACCCTTACTGTGAGGAAAAGGAGGAGGGTACTTCTCAAACATGCAGACGGAAACATTACTGAAAAGGTAATGTAGGCTGGGTGGTGGTGGCGCACGCCTTTAGTCCCAATCCCAGCACTCAGGAGGCAGAGGCAGGTGGATCCCTCAATTCAAAGCCCGCCTGGTCTACAAAGCCAGTTCCAGGACAGCCAGGGCTACACAGAGAAACCCTGTCTCAACAAGGCAACAACAACAACACTGCCTTGAAAAACCAACAACCAAAAAGGTAACTTAAAAGTCTAAGAGGCTCGTTCATAAAGGGCTTGCTATCAACCCACGGTCCTGTCACCACTCACATACACGCTGGGCAGGTCTGATGGCCCACCCGTGACCCCACATGGTGTCTGGGGTCATATGGCTAGCTAAACTAAGCGCAACTAAAAGCAGTTGGCAAGGCGAGCTCTGGGTTGAGAGGGAGAGAGAGGGAGAGGGAAGGAGGGAGGGAGGGGGGAGAGGGAGAGAGAGAGGGAGGAGAGAGAGAGAGAGAGGGAGGGAGAGAAAGAGAGAGAGAGAGAGGGAGGGAGGGAGAGAAAGAGGGAGGGAGGGAGGGAGGGAGAGAAAGAGGGAGGGAGGGAGAGAAAGAGGGAGGGAGGGAGAGAAAGAGGGAGGGAGGGAGGGAGGGAGAGAAAGAGGGAGGGAGGGAGGGAGGGAGGGAGAGAGGGAGGGAGGGAGACCTTGCCTGAACAGTATCTGAAAGATTCCCCAACATCAACTTCTGGTCTCCATGGGATATCCATGCATACATACGTATCCGATACAGACCCCATACAAGTGATCTCTTTTTTTGTAGTGCTGGGGCCTTGAGTATGCTGGACTGGATGTATGTACTACCATTTTCAACCCCAGAAGTAACTTTCGAACACGAAGTGCTGCCCTGCTGGGGACGGGTATAAACACCCAGCAAGCACTGTTAAGGAGCCAGACTTCTTCTTATGACATCCATTCCCCTGCCTCAGCTCTCATAGGGAAATGTGATGCCCAGCTGAAGGAAAAAGACCACTAGCAAAGACACAAGGTTGTAGAGAGAAACTGAGCCACCCGAATCTATTGATATAAAGATGACAGGCAACCTGTAGCTTCTTCTACCTGGGTGACTTTAAGATTTATCTTTTAAACCAGGCCACGGTGGCATACGCCTTTAATCCCAGGACTCCGGTGGCAGAGGTAGGCGGATCTTGAGTACCAGGCCAGCCAAGGATACAGAGAAATCCTGTCTCAAAAAAGATTTTTTTTGACGGACTTGGTGGTGCACACCTTTAATCCTAGCGCTTGGGAGGTAGAGGCAGGTGGATCAAGGCCCACCTGGTCTACAGATGAGTTCCAAGACAGCCAGGGCAACACAGAGAAACCTTGTCTGGAAAAACAACAAAGGAGACAGTTTCTCCTAGCTTAGACTGACAATGAATATCCAATACTCATCCTCCCTGCTCCTACACCTTCACTTCCCAAGAACTGGAAACACCAAGCCTGGTTTGAAAGGGACTAGGGATGCCCCAAGGGCTGACAATGAATATCCAATACTCATCCTCCCTGCTCCTACACCTTCACTTCCCAAGAACTGGAAACACCAAGCCTGGTTTGAAAGGGACTAGGGATGCCAAGGGCTTTCTGAACACTAGGCAAGCACTCCGGAGCTGCCACAGCCCAGCACCAATGAGTCGGTCTTGAGCTTTCTGGTAGCGCAGGAGATAAAGAGACCCCTGAATGAAATCAGTGTCTCCAACACCAAGTGGTGTTGAGAATGAAACTGGGATACTCTGCAAGAACAGCAAATGCTCTTCAGCCCTGAGCTATCTAGACTATTGGGATTATAGCTGTGACTCACCACACTTGACCACAGACATCACAGTTTGGGACTAGAGAGATGGAGTGGTCAGGAGCCCTTGTTACCCTTTGCAGGGCCGGGCCTGAGTTCCTGACTCCAGAACCCGCATGGGAGTTCAGAAACAATTACCTGATGGATGACCTTCTTCCGACCTTCACTAGTACAAGGGCACAGACGTGGTGCACAACTCCATGTAGGCAACACTTGTACCCACAAAAGAGAGCTAGCTAGGTAAGGCGGCTCACACCTATAGCCCCAGCAGTCCGAGGACTCTGGAGTTTAAGCCAGCCTAGGCTACTTGAGACACAAAACAGTTGGGCATGGTAGTGCTTGCCTGTAATCCCAGCAGAGACAGGAGAATCTCTATGTTCAAGGTCAGTCTGGTCTACAGAAAGAAACCCTGTCTCAAAAAAAAAAAAAAAAAAAAGGAAAACAAGACAAAACAACAACATAAGTAAAGGAAGGAAGACAGCAAAGGAGGAGAAAAAGACTAAGGCTGGAACGCAGTCGACAGTGCTTAGCCAGCAGTCACAAGACCCTGGGTTCCATTCTTAGTCACTAAACTAAGTAAGAACTAGGTTTGGTGGCACAAGTCACACTAGCAGTCAGGAGGTACTGGCAAGGTCATGAGCTCAAAGTTCAATGACTTCAAAGTCAGCCTGGAATACCTTTTGTTCCAGAACAAAAAGCTTCAAGAGCTGGCTGAGATGTAGCTGGATTCTACTTCTTCTTTTCAGGTTTTTTTTTTTTTTTTTTTGGCAGGGGCGAGACCAGGATCTGTGTAGGCCTGGCTGTCTTGGATCCATTGTGTAGACTAGTCTGGCCTCAGAGATCCATTTGCCTCTGCCTCCCCAGTGCTTGGAATAAAGGCAGGACTACAGTAGGTTTCTCCCTTTTTCAGTGGTTCTGTGGCTGAAGTCCTGAGCTTGTGAACGTTAACCCACACTCCAGCTGCACCTTAGACCCCAGCTTTTTCTTTTTTTGGTTTTTCGAGACAGGTTTTGGAGGCTGTCCGGGAACTCGATCTGTAGACCAGGCTGGCCTTGAACCCACAGAGATCCACCTGCCTCTGCCTCCCGAGTGCTGGGATTAAAGGCGTGCGCCACCAACACCCGGCCGACCCCAGTTTTTTCTGTGAAACAGGGTCTCACTATATGTAGCCTTAGCTGGCCTGGAACACACTATGTAAACCAGGCTGGCCTCCAACTCAAGAGAATCCCCTGGCTTTCTGCCTCTGCAACTCCAAGCTTCAAAGGCCCAGAACATCCCATAAACGGATGGATGTTTTCTATCCATACATAGAGCTGTCGCACAGCAATCAGTGCCCATCAACACCCATCAGAACCCACCTTCAGATTGCCTTTAGTGGTGAAGGCTCGCCCACATATGTTGCAGGCAAAAGGCTTTTCTCCCGTGTGCGTCCGCTCGTGGATCTGAACGGCACTGGCAGATGAGAAGTTCTTCCCGCAGCGCGTACAGCAGTGCTGTTTGGCCTGTCGGCGTGGCTGTGCGGCTAGCAAAGGTGTCATGCTTGAGGACATGCTGGAGGCTCCCACAAAGGTGCCAGGAACTTCAACTTTGACATAGGTGGGCTGTGCGTGGATATATGTTGATGGGATGCCAGTGCGAGCTAATGTGGAGAGGGGAAAGAGACCGACTTTTATCATCTAATACCCAACTCACCGTATGAAGCAAATCCTCCGCAGTATTATTAGCTTACAGAAAATGCCCGTTACCAATCACCTCTTTGAGGGGGGGGTCTCTTATGGATCTATCGTCAGCAAGTGGGCTAGGCTACTGGCCAGTGAGCCTAGAGATCTGTCTGTCTCCCACAGCATGCCTGCTTTTACGTGGAGACCTGAACTCAGATTGTGAGTGCAGACAAGGCAGGTTTTTAATAAGATACCGCCATCAAGGGTTCAGTTACTTCATCTCAGTTACTTCTTTGGGAGGTAGAGGCAGGAGTTCAAAGATTGTGTAGAATGAACTCAGGCTGGTATCCTCCCCAGCCCCCTGGAAAAAAACAAGGTAACGGTGGGTGGCACTCGCCTCCAATCCCAGCACATAAGGGGCGAGGAGGCAGGCTGATCAAGTTTGAAGTTAACCTGGTCCACATAGTGAGACCCTATCAGAAAATAAAAATAATAAGGATGGAGGCTAGAGGGCTGATGTCCTAGGCTGAAATCCCAGCACCACAATAAAGTCCCCTTTACGCTATACCTAGGCATTTTCTGTGATTCTAATGAGGTATTCTGGAGCAATGGACACCTCAAATCGATGCATCTAACATAAAGTATTGTCTTTCAGATGTGAACACTGTGTTTCATAGCAGGACCTCAGTTTCAAGCAACTATTGCTTGATTTTTGTGGCCCAAACAGTGCCTACTTTCCCAAACACACCTACCTACCCATAGGGTCAAATAAAAAACAAACAAAAAAAATCAAAACAAAACCAACAGCCATGCTGTCCACACTCAACCTGCAAGACCCATGATAAAAAAGAAGTCTACCAAGGGCTAGGCCACACGGACAGTCATCAGCTCCCTCTACCCACTAGCACAGAATAGCTAACTGCCCTACAGAGAAACTGCTTCAAGTCACATTCAAGTTCAACCCAGGCTCCTTTTCTGGTGACCTTGAGGCCAAAAGGGACATTAAGTGAAATCCAAAGCTTCATCACCTTCCGTGTCAATGCGGCCGCTCTCGATGCCCTCGGCCTTGATGCCCTCAGGAGACCGGGACTTGACAATTTCTGCCTTGCTATCGGCAGGAGACACTGCCTGGAAGCACATGGTTTCTGCGGCATCTGGGCTTCGGCTCCGACACTCCTGGTCACCACCCATGAGCGAGGACGAGTCATTGGCTAGGCAGTTGTCACTCTCTACTGAGCCATTTTCTTGGCTGTTCTGCCACTGCAGGCCCAAAGGGGGAGGAGCCCCTTTCCCCTGAGTATCCAGGGGGGCCATCACAGAAAAGCCCACAATGGGTGGCACCAGGTGGGTACCAGGAGCGGATTTGGAGACCTTTGAGGAGCCACCCGGAAGATCTTGCGGGCAGATGTCATCTGCCTCCATCCTTTCCCCTGCGTCTTCCTGGCAGACGGCACTGGCACCGCCATTCTCGCTGACGACCATGGGCTCGGGACCTGTAAAGTCGCAGGGGCTCTCTGGCAGGGGCGTGTTAGGTATCTGGCCACCCATGTGCATTCGGATATGTTGCTGTAACATGACGGCGTTGGTGAACTTCTTCTGGCAGATGGGGCACGAGTGCTGTGTTTTTACAGTCATGTTGGCCTGGTGAACCCCAAGGTGGGTCTTCAGGTTGCCTTTGGTGGAGAAGGCCCGGCCACATATCTTGCACTCGTACGGTCTCTCCCCTGTGTGGGTCCGGTAGTGCATCTTGAGGGAGCTCTGACAGCTGAGTACTCGATGGCAGATGAAGCACTCGTTGGGGTCGGCAGTGGCCTTGTCAATGTTCTCCACAAGCTGCTGCAGTTTCAGGGTCTCCGATCCTGACTCCGGGGTCCCACTCCCCTGGGGGCCCCCAACCCTTGGGGGATTATGCACAAGCCCCACCCCAGGGAGCGGAATTCCCACCTCACTCTCTGGAGAGTGCCCTGGCTGCATGTCAGTGGGCAGGGAGCCACCCATGAGGTCCTTGGGGTTAGGCCCCGAAGTGAGCTTTTGAGGCAGCCCTATGGGAGGGGTTCCCGTGCCATGGACAGGCTTGTTGTCTACAGAGAGACTTGATTCATCTACAGGGGCAGGGACAGGGAGTGCATAGGGGGAGCCGTTGCCTGCTGCCGCCGTTTTATCCTGGAATTCGGCAAACAGCTGAGGGTTTGCCTTCACCTCAGGGTGTCGATAGAAGTGTACCTTGAGGTTGCCCTTGGTGGTGAAGCGGTGACCACAGACAGAACACATGTAAGGTCTCTCTCCGGTGTGGGAGCGGAGGTGGATCTGCAGGGAACTATCGGTCCCGAAAACCTTGCTACAGTACTTACACTTGTGCTTGCCGAGGGCGGCCTCATCCTTGACCTTGACATCCGTCGCAGTCGCAGAGACGTTTGGAGGCTTCCCCTTCCCTTTCTTGGACGGGTCGAGTGCCACAGCAGGGAAAGGACTCTGAAGGAGCACAGAGCCCGGGGTCTGAGGTAGCAGGCTACTTGGGAGGCGAGACATGAAGTTGGGGAGAACCCGAGTCCCGTCAGGCTTCAAGGTGAAGGGCGTAAACCCCGAGGACAGCGAGCCTGCTGTGGAGGGCGCGCTGGCATGAGGTAGCTTGGTTTGCTTCAAGGCATCGAGAGACAGAGCCGGGTTTGAGGATTTCTGGCTGAGCAGAGCCACAGCGGCGGACACCTGCTGGGATATGGACACCTGTTGGGACACATGATTGCTTAAGGCCTTCAGAGTGTCCGCACCCGCCACTCCAGAGTGGAGCGCGTGTGCCGCCCACATGTTCACCTGGATGCGGATTTGTTCGGTGAGTTGGATCTGTTGAAGCTGCTGCTGCTGCAGACACAGGATCTGCTCTAGGACCCAGGGGATGCTGTGGGCAGCTGGCACAGGAGCTGCAGGGATATCCACACTCCGCTGGTTCACTGCCACCTTGGTGCCACGGAGCGCCTGCAGAGTCACATTGGTGTTGGCCACTTTGCCTTTGGGTGCATAGCTTACGTCCTGGGGTGTGGGTGGCAGGGTAGCCTCTGTCTTTAAGTACAGGATGGAGTCCATGTCCAGTTTTTCCTTCGAATACCCTGAGCTGCTGCTGTTGTCCTGGTGACTGTCCTTATTGCTTGGGCTGTCCGACTGGTGGCTCAGGACAGCTCTGGGGAAGTCCTCTGAAGGCACTGGCCCCTCACTGTCGTTCATAATGAGGACCGGAGGATTTTTAGTGCAATTTTTCTTGTGTTCCACGAACTCAGAGAGACTGAAGAACTCAGCACAACACTTCTCACAGACGTGAGTCTCCTCCCGCCGAGGGCGCTTCGCCGGGACCGTGTCCTCTGTCACTTCATCGCCGTTCCCTGGGGAGTTCACTGGGGCACCTGTGCAAGGAGAGATAAAGGTAAGCACTCGACAGACAGACAGACAGACAGACAGACAGACAGACAGACAGACAGACAGGTCCCCGTTGCCACCAGTCCTGATTCAAGAAGACTGTGTGTGTAATAGACACAAAGTCCCTACAGCCTGAATTACTAAACTAAGGAATTACGTCCCTCCCTAGAAGACACCACCAAGCCTCATAACCCATGCCTGTCACTTAGCCCAGGCAGCCCCCAAGCCTGCTGTGAACCCCTAACCCTTCCTGCCTCATCTTCCAGATCAGGAGTCTGTTACCATGCCTAGCTTGGACAGGGTCTTTTGTCAAAAATTAGGCTGGGTCTTAAATCTTAGTATCTATCACTCTAAGAGGAAGAAAAGAAATCAGTGAGACACCCAAGTCAGAGAAGACAGCCTTGTGAAGTCCAAGGCAGAGATGGAGTCAAGGGGCTAAGAACCATCCATAGGGACCTTACCTGTTTCCCAGAGCCTCCAGGAGGAACCCTGTCACCTAAATTCAGACCTCTCACGTCTGTGAAGACCAATCAACTGCCGTTATCCAACTTGTAGTAGTTATTAGCAGAAACATAGGATAAACAGCTGTTTATTTTATTATAGGATCTGTTTGTAGTCCAGATTAGCACTGAATTCACAGCAATTCCACCTGGGCCTCCCAAGTGCTAGGATTATAGCCATGGGCCACTACTAGATAGTTAAACCAAGCCCCATTGCCAAGGACACTGGAACTGGGTCTGATCTCCTCCATGACCTATGCAAAATGAAATATCACAAATCACATTCAACCCAGGCGATGCATCTGTCACTTAGGGGTGTGGAGTTTCAAGGTGCTGCTAAGACAACACCAATCCATCCCAGATAACCAAGTTCTAAAGGTGCCAAGAGAACACCAATCTGTTCCAGATAACAAAGGTATTCTAAAGGTGCCACTAAGGCATCAATCCATCTCTGTGAGTTCAAGGCCAGCCTGGTCTACAGAGCAATGTCCAGGACAGCCAAGGTTACACAGAGAAACCTTGCCTTGAAAAACCAAAGAAAGAAACAGGAAGCAAACACCTCACTACACCAAACCACTACTCCTCCATCTGCTACCATTCAACTCCACGACTCAAGTACGGAAGACTGAGTTAGGACTGTTCTGCCTGGTATTTTCTTCAGGATTCCGAGTCTGTCCTTTGTTATTTGTCGGTGGCCACATGAATGGGCTTGCTAGTGCAACCCCATGTAAAAAGGTCAGGACAACTTGAGGGAGCTGAGTTGGTTCTCTCCTCTATCCATCTGGGTTCGAGACGGCCAACTGCGTCTTAACCAGCTGTGCCATCCTACAGGCCTAGACTGGGTCTTCAATATTGTTTTCTGAGAGTCTTGAATAGGCCAGCCTCATGAGATGGCTCACTGGCTAAGAGCACTGGCTGTTCCTGCACTGGACCCGAGTTCAATTCCCAGCACCCTCATGGTGATCTACTACTCCAGTTCCACGGGATCTAACGCCCTCCTCTTACCTTTGGGCCCTGCGTGTACATGACATACGCGCAGGCATGCGTGAGAAAAGCCCTTATTATAAATGCGATGCAAGCCGGGCGGTGGTGGCGCACGCCTTTAATCCCAGCACTCGGGAGGCAGAGGCAGGCGGATCTCTGTGAGATCCTCCAAAACAAGAGAAACCCTGTCTCGTAAAACCAAAAAAAAAAAAAGTGATGCAAGTAGGCCCGCAGACCAGTGGCTTCAAGTCATGCAAGGGTTACTCAGCAGCTCTTACCGCACCCGGAAGGGGCACTACGGCACCCGTGTTAGGTCTTTTCCCTGGTACATACATGTCCTGTGACCGCAACTCCCTTTTCTCTCAGCAACACAGGGGCGTCTAGAAGACAAACGCTCCTGCTGACTAGGAAGCCAGGAACAAGAACAATTGAAGCCCAGAACAAGACGGGCGGGGGCAGATCCATCTGTAAGGTCCAGCACACCAGGCCAGTAAAGGCCAAGCAGAGACACACTGCGCTCTCTCTAAGGGTAAGGAGGGAAAAAAAAGGTTTGGAACGTGGCTTAGTTGATATTGGGAAGGGGGTGGGTTACAACAAGCCCAGCACAAAATAAGTCGGTCATGTGACTGCACATTCCTGAAACACCAGCACTGGAGGCAGAGGATGAGAAGTTCAAGGTCACTGTTGGCTACAAGGCAAGGCGGCCGATACAGGACACCCAGTAAGGAAGGAAAACTAATGAAGTGTTAAGTTGTGCCAGCCAGGGCTGTGACAGAGAATCCGGTCATAAACAAACAAACAAACAAATAAATAAAACAAAAAATCTTTTTAAAGACTTCCTGTGGGAAGAACAGGTTCAGGGAGAAGGGTAGCCACATGTGAAGCCAGCTTCCCTGCATGGCTGCCTATCTAAATTGTACCCTCTGCCTCAACAACTCCAGTGTTTGGACACAGAGACACCAATGGCTCTTGGTCTACCAAGAATCCAGTTAAATTTTAAAAAAAGTATGCCAAAAAAAAACCCTGAAGATTCACTCCTCCATATATAACTCATGTACTATATGAGCGCCCCCACCAAAGAAAAAGCTATCCAAAAATAACTTTGTCTTCTCTAGGAGAACGGCACAAAAAATTCTCCTTGTTTATTTAGTTTTGGGTTTTAGAGGCAGGATTTCTCTGTGTAGCCCTGGCTGTCCTGGAAATCGCTCTGAAGACCAGGCTGGCCTCGAACTCAACTCAAGAGTTCCATCTATCTGCCTCTGCCTCCCGAGTGCTTGACTGAAGGTGTGAGCCACCGTGCCTGATGGCAGACTTTCTACTGCCGTTTGAACTGGAGTCTCTCTCACAGGCCATACTGAATTCACCATAGCCCAGGAGCCCTCCTTAGGTTTCCGCCTCAACCAGGATTATAAGCATATTACAGCGCTTCGGGAGAGGAAGGGAATGTTTTTGAAAGGCAGGAAAACAGTCTGGGGAGTGTGGGTGTGTGCAGACACAGATGTCTACAGGGTCTGGGAGCCTGGGATGGAAAACTCTGTAACCTGCCTGTCCTGGATCTCTGCCTGCTCTACCTCCCAGGTGCTGGGGTCAAAGGTATTGGTCACAACTGCCAGAACGTCCCTTTGAAACTGGCACCAACTAGGGTGCAAGCGCGTCCAGTGAAGTCAGCGTCCACTCTGTCTCTCCACCTCACCCACTCTGGAAACCAATAATGCCCCACACAGACCATTAGATCCTACTGTCTCCTGAGGCTGAGTCAAGTGGCCTAGACCGCCCTCCAACGCTGTGTCCAGATGACTGAGAACGTTCCAGCTCCAGCTCCCAGCCCCCTAGTGCTAAGCCAGAATGAAAGCATGCAACACTGAAGACGGACGGCACAGCTTAGCCTCACGCATGCTAGGCAAGCACTCCCCCACCTGTCTTTAAAAGGCCAAAGCATGGCGGTGGTGGCTTACACCTTTAATCCTAGCACTCAGAGGCAGAAGCAGGAGGATCTCTGTGAGTTTGAGGGCAGTCGGACCAACAGAGCAAGTTCCAGACAGCCAGAGATATTGCATAGAGAAACCCTGTCTCGAGGGGAAAAAAAAGCCACAGCAATTGTAGTCAGGCAATTGAAGTATCTTTGAACCCATTTCCCAGATGCAGATACTAAACACTAAGGCTCAGTAAGAATTTCTCACTTAATTGCTTCATCCCTCACGAAATGTTATCAAGTGACCTTGTACATACCAAGAACCAAACTCTTCCAATTCTCATACAGGCGATCTTAACTTTTGTTTTGATACAAGGTCTAGTTATGTAGACTTGGCTGTCTTCAAACTCACTATGTAGCTCAGGCTGACCCCAAATTCCTGCAAAGCCTCCTGTCTTGCTTGGCTTCCCAAGCAGACTGACTCTAAGGCAGCAGCAGTCTTAGCCTGCAATCCATCAGATTTACCAAAGATTTACAGTCAGGCACGTAAGGGACACGTTACGCAATATTAACAGCAGAAACTACAATAATAGCCAGAAACTACAAATGTTATCATGGAGTGCTCTTCCACTTTCTGGATAATCAGGGCAGTTGACTGGCAGACAGGATACCAGACCTGCCATTTTTAATCAATAAAGAGGTACACGTTACTACAATATTCCCCAAATATCAGCAAAGGAGTTGGTCCCTGTAGCCACTAAAGGCAGAGGCTCAGAGGGAGCCTGTCATTACCAGCTCACCCTCTGGTATGACCCCCACCCCCACATTGGGTTTTGAGTCCAAGCCCTCACACCAGCTAGGGAAGAGAGCTCTCCCACTGAGCAGTATCTCCAACCCCCAAACTTTTAATCTCCGGGATTTAGCAAACCCACATGCAATGCAAATACTATGTAAATAGTTCTCAAGACTGCATTGTTTAGGGGCGAAATTGCCAGAAACAATAGCCAGCACGAGGTCATCTTTGTCATTTTTTCAATAGCCCTGGGGGGAAGATAAGGAGGACGAAATGTTTGCTGGTCACTGTACTTTGTTCCCTAGAATTCTGTGCACCCTCAGCATTCGGCAGCGAAGGGATCTGTGACACAAAAGTTTAAGCACCTCTGCTCCAGAAGGATTCCCCGGTTCCAAGTGATTTACAGCCAGGATGCCAACTGCCTTCGCTGTATACACAAGCCCCAAAGCCAGCCTCCCTCCTTCCAGCCTGGCTGCTCAATGCTCCAGCAACATCCCACTTAAAACTGCAGCCTGTTTGCTTAGGCAGAAAAAAAAAAAAAACTCATCCATACCACCATCGGCAAATAGTGGAACCAGTATTTGCCGAGGAGTAAGAAGACCCTGTTAGGAACAATTGCTGGCTATGCTTAAGTTAGCCTGAAGGGAAGGAAAGCCAAAGTCCACAGGGATAGCGCCAGCAAGCAGGGCCTCCATCCCCCACCCCGAATTTTAGGAATGTTATCTCTTCAGCATCTAGTTATCCAGTAAGTTGGAAGAATGCAGTAAACCCAGCAGGGGTCTTAGATTCAATCTCGGCCAGATGGATGGAAAACACGGCTTACTATTGTATAGAAAGAGAGCTAATCAAGCAGGAGGCCAATCCCTGGCCGGGAGACACTCAAACAGTTAAAAAATAAAATAAAACCTGTGCATCTCGATAAAAGCCTGGCGACTCAGGCTTTGCTTATCTGTTACTGGCGCTGTATTAGGAGAATGACAATGAACAGCTTACCTAAGGCACACAGTATCTCAGGCCCAGCCCCACCTCCAGGATAAGTGCTTACCAAAAAAACAAAAAGGAATTAATGTCTTTCTGGGTATTGTTGACCCAGCTGTAGGGAGTTCTTTAACCAGTTTCATATACAAAGCCTTGAAATATACACGTAAAGGTCGAATTGACCTGATATTAAGTCTCTCCTTAACCAAAAACCCCACAAAAAGTAAAAGCAGTCACGGATCAAAGTTCAGGGGCCCCGTGGAAAAGAAAGGGTGAAAAGGAGAAACAGTGGAATGACTCAGTGGGTCAAAGATGACATTTGAGCTCGACCATGCACATCGTGGCAGCAAACGAAATTTAGAAGAATTCAATTTCTCAAGAGCAAAGGGCTCAGAATAAGCCTGGTCAAGGTAAGGGATGCCCAGTCACCTCCTGCCTCAACTGGAATAAGCTTGCACACTCCAAGACGGAGAGAGCAGAGCTCTCTTCTCCCTGGAATAAGGCTGTCTCCAGGCTGTCTCAAGGCTTTAACATGTTCAGGTGTGTCTGCTAAAAAAAAGTGCAGATTAAAGTCATAATGGTTAGTAACCTCCTGAATGCATTTCCTATTCATTTTGTTTCAAATCAGGCGCCCTCACCAAGATATGTACCAAAATTTTAGTTCTGAGTTGTTTCCCAGGGGTCCCATCATCCACAGCTTCTAAAAGGCAGTTTGAACAAGTCAAAGGGGGCTGGCCATGGTGGCAGATGCTTCCCATCCCAGCTGTTGGAGGCAAAGACATGAGCATGGAGAAACACTGCAGGCTGGGATGGTTATGGTAACAAAGCCACCGTAGCTACACAGACAGACCCTGTGCTGTAGGGGGGAAATCAAAAGGAAAATGACCAAACCAAATCAGCTTCAAGCACCAACCATGGCCGCCTCTTACAAAGGAGAACATCCCATCACTGACCGCTCTAGGACCATCAACAAACACCCACCGATTCAAGGAGGGTTAAAGTTATATTGGAGGAAAACGGACCAGGTCATGTCACCCTGGAGCATCCATTAACTTTCCAGTAGAGTAAAATTCCAAACAATAAGGTGTGAAAAGGTCCAAGCCTGGGGTCTGGCACACAGCATGTTCCTATTTCTGGAACTAGTAAAAACATCTTGAACAAAGTTACCAATCACACTCTCAACACACAATATGCTTCTTCTATAGCACATCTTCTCACTGCCAATGTATACAAGTACCCAAAACTGGATGGGGGGGAGGGGATAATCCACCAGGTGACACCCAGAATAGATTGCTGACCTTCTCTTACCAAATCTTGCCAAAATCCTTTTCTCCCAAACTCTCATTTGACTCTTTACATCCGAAAGGCAGAAATTCGAGAAACTAACCATGCCTCAGCCGACCAAAACGGTCCCCCAGCACCCTACTTAGATGAGAGCCTGCTAAACCACCCCCCCCCATCATCAATGACAAAAGTATCGTTTACTGGCGGCTGAGCGCCACTGAGGGTGAGGGAATGCATTTTACATGCAATTTAATGAATAAAAAAGGTCGTGTGCAAATTACAGCCCCCTCCCCCTTTGGGGAACTCTAAATTCGCTTGAAACCTTAACTAAAGCCAGCACAGGCAGGTCAATAGAGGCTAGAAACGGGAGCTAAATTACTAAAAACCTGGGAATCGTAATAGCTGAAGGTTGTAATCCAGTTTAGCACAAAAGGCATTTGGAACTCTTTTGAGAAAATGCTAATTTTCCTTTAAGTACTGTGAGCCCAGTCTCCTCGACCACCTGCGGATTTTTTGATCTGCTAATTATTGCCCGGATTTCATTTTCCTAGCTCAAAAACTGCATTCTCCAACGGACTGATCAAGAGGGATCCAAACGCTTCGCGATAAAGATTATAATCATCATCTATCGATACTGAGACTGATCCCAAAATACAGTCACTTAAAAAAAGTTCTTCCCAAAGGCCACAAATGAGGGCTCCGTAAATATATCCTAAGAATTCTTGGCGCAGACACCCACGCACAAACGGCGAAGGGGAAGGTAGGAACCCTGCAGAGATCCCCCGGAGCGGATCTCCAGGCCCAGGTTGCCTCACTCACCAGGTGTGTGCCCCGGTCCGCACATGACCCGTCTCCAGAGGGCGCCAGCGCGCTTAGCCCGGCTCGGACCGCGGGTGATCCGCAGAAAACTCTTCCCAAGGCGCGGTGGCAGCGCGCGCCCAGCGGCGTCAGGGCACAGCCAGGTTAAAGCGCGACTCCAGGCAGCGGAGATTTCGGAAGCCCCTCTTTAGCATGCTACCCCTCCACGCCCCCGAGAAAGTCAACCACCATCTACAAACAAAAATCCACCCTAGTGTGCGCTCACCCCAATGGAGGGGGATGGGAGGTCAGCACAAGACCAGGGGAGGGGTCAGGGCCGGGAGCTCGCCCCTCCTCTCCCGAGGAAGCAGGCGGGCTTAGGGTTAACCCTTTTGTTCCAGGTGGACCAGGCGACCCAGCCTCTCGTTGACTCCCCCACCCACCCACCCACCCACCCAGTCACACACCAGCTCCCCTGGCCAAGGCACAAAGAGTCCATCCCAACAGCAGAGCCCTATGATGTGGGATGCTCCGACGCCCCAAAACTCACATCCGCTCCCTGGACCAAGTAACCACCTTCCATTTGCCCCGAGGGGGAAAAAAATAACAATGCGGTGGAGGGTCACAGAACTCTTGATAAACTCGGGAAGCCGCGGAAGAGTAGGACCGCACTCCCGGGAAAGCGGGAGCGTCCCGAGTGGAGCGCGCAGAGTCCGCCGCTACCGTGCACCGCCCACCCAGCGCGGAGAGCTGGATCGGGCGGGAGGCCCAAGGGGACCCCCTCCCCCCACGTTCCCAATTTCTCCGGCGACAGTCCGGCGGCCCGGGGTGAGGGGCTGGTGGAGACCGGCTGGGAAGGCGCTCGCCCGCAGCTCACGGCCGAGCCGAGGTCCTGAACTTCGCGGAGGCGCGGGCCGGGTCAACCGCAGCACGACCTCTCCCCCTTTCACCTCCCGGGCGTGTGCTGAGCGGTGCCGCCCGAAGGATCCGCACTAAAAATAAATAAATATATAAAGCAGCGAGGATGCGCTCCGACGGGGTGACCATGCACCCGCCGCCCGGGCCCGGCCGGCACCCTCCCGCTGGCCGCGGTTATTTTTAGATAGTCGGAAATCAAAGATGGCTGGAGGTCAGGCCCCGAAAGGTTAGGGCGAGGATCGGCAGCAGGCGGCGTAGCCCCGGGGGAAAGGCGGAAAGCAGCAAAAAAAAAAAAAAAAAGTAAACGGGAAAAAAAATGTCAACGAAATATCTAAAATTACAAAAGAAAATTTAAAAGCCCCCAAAGGGAACTAAACCGAGCGGCCTCCCCCGCCCTCTGTGCTGCGCGGGTGGCCCGCACCCCGGCCTGGGGGTGGGGAGAGGTCGCGCCCCCTCCCCCACTCGGCCTGGGAGGGGCGCGTGCAACAGATCGCCCTCCTGGGGGGGTCCCCCAGAGGTGCGCCCCTCCCCCCGAGCCCCCCAACGGGGTGGCAGAGAGGGTGGGGAGACTTGGGGTCTCTTTCTTTTAAAAGCGGCGCCACCAGAGAGAGTGGGGGAGAGGGAAGCCCAAGTAGCCGGGGTGGGGGGGTGCTTGTGTACCGAGGCGAGGGAAACCGATTATCGGACTGAGGACGAGGAGAGCCAAAGCTGGAGGGAGAGAGGCAGAGGGAAAACGGGGCGCCAACTTCACAATAAGAACTGGGGGAAACTTTCAAGAGGGAGGCGGTGAAGCTACCTCCCTCCGTCCCTCTCTCCGCCTCTCCCTTCCCGGAACAGAGTCCAAAAGTCCTGTTCCAGAATCTGCTCCCGAAACCCGCGCCCTCGAGGGACGCACGGCGGTGCGGGGAGCGCCCTCCCGGGACGCACGGACGGGCGCACGGACGGGGCCGCAGCCGCACTCACCCGGTTCCTCCGCCGCCGGCGCCTCTTCGAGGTCGGGGCTCGGCTGCTGCAGCGGCTGCTCGCCCTGGCCCTCCTCCGAGTTGATGTGCTGGGGCTTCGCCTGCTTGCGCCTCGACATGGTGCGCGCATCGGGGCGCCGGGAAGAGCCCTGGTGACTTGCCACCAATTCCTGGAGTTAGGAAATTTTACCCCCCTTCGGCCGGAACGCGCATGTCCCAGTAATTATTATTATCAATAATGCATTGCGATTTATCATGAGCCCTGACAGCTGATTGGCCTGGGTCCAAGACCTCAGAGATCATTTAAATAAGCCCTCATTGATCAGGGAGGGGCGAGGCATGCTGGGCCTTGTAGTCCGGCCCTACATGTGACAAAGGCGTGTTCATCAGGGAAGCGTAGCTAATTAGCATCCGGGCTCAGATTGGCCGGGGCGTGGACCGACTCGGAGGGGACCATCCTCGCGGCCACTATCCGAGTGCTGGGACGAGAGAAGAAAAAACCGGGAAATCGGTTTATTGAAAACCAGGGCCGGTCATGAAAGTTCTAGAACCGATGTATCTTGGTAATGCGCTACAAAAAAATTACTGTAGTAATTGGCGTGGTTGATAACTACCAGCTGAAAAAGAGGGTCTCTGCCTTCACAGAAAAGTACTTCGGTTCAATTTCTACCTCTTAAAAACAACCTGCCCGGAGACTCGAATAATCTCTCTCCAGGTTTCTGATTGAAATTTTTCAGTTGCGTTTCGAAGGCTGCCGGAGTGGCTGGTGGTAACGCGCGGCCTTCTGCCCATCCCAGGTCTTCAGGCTACACCCCCCACCCACCCAATCTCACACTATTCGTCCCTACCAAGATTCGCCTCCTTAAAATGCTGAGTAATAGCCTCGGGTTTCATACTCGTGAGCATGGATTTGTTATCATGTGAGCCTTCTGAATTTTAAAAAGTATCTCTCTGCTCCTGTCAGTCAACTGTAGAAAGGGCAGATTAAAAGCAAACTTGATCAGAGATGATTCCAGAATAGAGAGCAGTTGTGGTTTCTTTCACAGAAACTGGTTTCAGTCCGCTGTGGGAAACAGTGGGCGCCCAGATGGTACCTGGGTGTTTGAACTCACTGGTTACTAGGACATTTTGCAATACAGACCTGGTTTCAGAAAAAGACCACTTCCGTTAGAGGTTATGTGATCCTGATTCAGGGATGCCTGGATTTTCCAAAGGGGTGTGTATGGACATAAAGTTATACTTCACAAATCTTGTACATTTAATTGGCTAACTCCCTTGCTGAGTGGAGAATGTGTGTTCCACTGGCTGGTCAGCCTTCCGTGGTGTCCCTATGAGGTCTCTACATATGTGGGTCCTTATTTGACCTCTCCTTCGTTATAAGGGAATGGGCAGACGTCAACCTCTCATCCATCTTAGTGCTTTGCGGGTTTTTTGGTTGGCCATTTGTCAACTTTCCTGTTTCTAAGAAGCTGATGAGGGAGGAAAAGGAAATAGGAGACCAGCCTCACAAGCATGCTCACCTGTGCCTTTGGACAAACCAAAGCTGAATAAATCAGCTGGAGCACCATTTTAATATGGGTAGCTACGGATATAAGACCTTGTAGGAGAAATAAATGCCTAACTTCCAATTGTGCCCGGTCTTCTGGAACCTATTTTAAATGACTTGGAGGACAACATCGAAAACAAATAGCCCTCTTGCAAGCCAGGGTGGAGTTGGCAGGGAAGAGTTCCTTTTCATGCTACATAAAGGCACTTAGAGTTCTGATACTGAGTCAGAAGGCAAATTAACACCTGCTCTCTGCCTAATCTGCCGTTATTCCCAACACCTTTCTGGGAAGGGAGCAGAGCAGGCTCAGTTACTCACAAATCTAAAGGAATGTACAGTTTACAGCTCAAGAAAGATGAGCCCCATAAGGAAAACATTGTGTAATATAATTCTCTCCTTTATCTAGCCAGTGATTGGAAACATAACAGCCATATCTGCCTGAGAATGGGGTGGGACCGTTGGGGCCATTTCCATCACTACAGCAAGGAGGAGGAGGAGGAGAAGAAAGAGGAGGAGGAGGAGGAAGAGAGTAATTTTCAGAAGGCAGAAATCAGAAGACCTAAAGTTTGAGTCCCTGTCTCAAAGGAAAGAAAAGGTAGGGTTTTTTGGTTTGTTTGTTTGTTTGTTTTTTGTTATTTCATGCACACGGGTGCTTTCTTTGCAGGTATGTCTTTGTGAGGATGGATTCTCTGGAACTAGAGTCACAGACAGTTGTGAGCTGCCTCGTGGATGCTGGGAAACAAACTCAGGACTTCTGGAAGAGCAGCCTGTGCTCTTAACCACTGAGCCATCTTTCCATCCTGACCGTAGTTTGTTTTAATTTCATTTCATTTTATTATTTTATTTTTAGATAATGTCCCATGTAGCACAGGTGACCTTGAGTTCTTGGTACTCATAGCTTCACACACACACACACACACACACACACACACACACACACACACGTATCTGTGCTTGGATTACGGGCGCGAGACACCACGACTACTAAGCATACTCTGTTCATCAGCTGTCTCCATTTCGTGGCCCACACACAGCCAGGAACCAGCAGAGAAATGGAATAAGACTTTGGAGGGAGCAGAAGCTGACTGAGGGCAAAGAGCAGAAGGCAAATTCCTAATCCAAAATTACCATTTAATGGCTTAGAATGCCCTAAGCAGCCGAAAGCCCTGGGTATAGGAAAGAGACCGAATTTTAAGGCAATACCCTCTGTTGGGGTGATGGGACTTGCAAGGATGGGTTGTTTTCAGGGTTGGTTCTAGGCAGCACTCAGCAGAGGTGATAATGAGTAGGTTTTTCAGCTGTCTGTGAATGTGAACCTCTCCTGTTCAGAGAGTGATCTGGGGCACAGAACCCTGTTTCATTCCTGAAGCCATTGAGGCTCCTATCTCCCTCGGTCACATTATTTAACTATTTATTTGTTGATCGGGGTCATTTGCAGCCCAGGCTGGCATTTGGTACACAGTGTAGCCAAGGATGATCCCATCCTCCTGTTTCTACCTCAGTTGCTAGGACCACAGGTGTCTGGCTGCCTCCGTAGGTTAGGATCACTTTGAATATCAACCAATTGCAGAACTGTGCATTCAGGAACTTTCCGACTGGGGTGCTTCTCAGTCTCTCCAACAACCACTCCCTCTTACCTCTTCCCCTCTGCTCTCCCCTCCACCTCTTAGCTAGCCCATGAGCCCTTGGTCTCATCGCGTTCCTCCCTAAAACCAGTCTCCTTTCTTCTACATCAGGTTACTTATTTGTGCCCAACTTCTCCCCGCTGCCTCCTCTGGCACCCTCTATCTAGGGAGGATTCTTTGCCTTTATGGCACAGACTATAGTTCCAGATTCCGGACAGGTTTCTTATTTTGAAGGGTGAGACAGGGTCTCACGTAGCCGAGGCTGGCCTCAAACTTGTGGCATTCTTCCTGCCTCAGATTCCCAAGTGCTGCTATCTCCTTTTACCCTGTGGTTCCTGGGATGAAACTCAAGTCCTCAGGCTTGGCAGCAAACATCTTCAGCAGCTAACCCGTCTTCCCAGCCCTTGTTTGTATTTTGTTTTATTTGATACAAACTGGCCTCCAACTCAGTGTGTGGCCGAGGATGAGTGTGAGCTTCTGAATCTCCTACTTCCACTCCCAGGTACTAAGATTACAGGCCTGTGCCACCATGCCCCACTTAAACTGTGCCGGGAGGGAACCCAGAGCTTGAGCATGGCAGGCAAGCACTCACACCAACTAAGCCATACCTCGCCCGTATCACTTGGTTGCAAGCAGAAGAGTGAGTATATCTGTCTGTCTCTCACACTGCAGCCTCCATCGGGGTGACGGCCTCACCACTGTGTCCTTTCCACTTAGCTGTAGTAAGGGGACACAGAAGTCACAATATGATAACGGGCCAATGATTGTGACTCTAGTGGCCCCGGGTATAAAATAAAGTGTTGAGAGCAATTATTGGAGAGGAGGGAGTGTGTGAAATGATGCAGGCATTACAGACAGCCACTAGCAAGTCCTTAAAATTGAAAGTGGAGTCATATGAAATCACAATGGACAGGGTCTCAGAGAAATATTAGGATGTCTATGCTTATAGCTGAATCACTCACAATACTGAAAAGGTAGCAGTAACCCGAGTGTCCATCAAGGGATAAAAGAACAAACACAATGTAGAGTACTGCACAATGCCCGGCGGTGGTGGCTTACACCTTTAATCCCAGCACTCGGGAGGCAGAGGCAGGTGGATCTCTGTGAGTTTGAGGCCACCCTGGTCTACAGAGTGAGTTCCAGGACAGCCTCCGAAACAATACAGAGAAACCCTGTCTCAAAAAAAAAAAAAAAAGAGTACAGTATAATGAAATACTATTCAGCATTTAAAAAGAAGGTCTTTTCCAAGTGGTGGTGGCGCACACCTTTAATCCCAGCCCTCAGGAGGCCAGCCTGGTCTACAGAGTGAGTTCCAAGGCATCCAGATCTATATTGTCAGACCCTGTCTCCAAAAGATCAAAAAACTAAAAATTAAAAAAAAAAAAAGAGCCGGGCGTTGGTGGTGCACGCCTTTAATCCCAGCACTTGGGAGGCAGAGGCAGGTGGATCTCTGTGAGTTCGAGGCCAGCCTGGTCTACAAGAGTTAGTTCCAGGACAGCCTCCAAAGCCACAGAGAAACCCTGTCTCGAAAAACCAAAAAAAAAAGAAGAAAAAAGAAGGAAGGAAGGAGGCTGTTTCTGACACATGCTATAATATGAGTGAGCCTTGACATGCTGAGTGTGACAAGTCAGTAACAAAGGACAAGGACAGTAGGTTTGCAGCAGAGTCTTGAGGACCCGCAGGCAAGGGGTTCGGTGACAAGATTTTAACTGTATTTAACACAAAAGTGGGTTTGGTAATGGTTAACCCACTTCACTTCAGCAACCTTTAACTCTATGTACACACCACCTCATTAGGGTCTTGTAGTCCCTTCCCTCCCTTGCCTTTGGGTACTGGAGATCAAACCCAGGACCTATCACATGCTGGGGGGGGGGGCTTTACAACCAAAGTCACCCATAGCCCCCAATCCATTCTTTCTCTCTCTTCTTTTCTTCCTTTCTTTTTTTTTTCTGATAAAGAGTCTTCTATAACCCAGGCTGGCTTTGAATTTCTAGTCCCCTTGCCTCTGCCCCCCACATGCTAGGACTGCAGGGCTATGCCCCCTTGCCTGCATATGATATATTCCTCAAAACCTTTGCAATAAAATTTATTCTTTAGAGCTGGGCGTTGGTGGCGCACACCTTTAAT